GTAATGCTAAATCTGTTTCTATTTCTATGGTTTCTAATTTTGTATTAAATAGGAATCAATGTCCTAAGTCAGAATCTTATTGTGAATATATGAAACATGTGTCATATTCTAATGCAATAAGTTCCATAATGTATGGTTAGCATTAGGCCATATTTAGTCTATGCAATTAGTTATTTAAGTAGTTATATGTCGAACCCTGCTTAGAACATTGACATGCATTAAAATAGGTCTTTAGGTACTTAGTTGACACAATAAATATTGGTCTTGTCTTTGGTAAACATATTAAAAATGTTAAATTAAAGGGTTTTGTGGATTCAAATAATGCAAATGATAGAGATAATAGGAAAAATACAACTTTTTATATTTTTACTTTGTGTGGAACTTGTATAAGTTGGAAATTTCAATTGCAACAAGCACAGTCCACAAAAGAATATTAATATGTAGCAATACCTGAAGTTTTAAAAGAAGCATTGTGGAACATCAGTGAATTAGGTTATTTGCAACATGTTATTATTTTTTCAGATAGTCTGTTGGGAATCTAATTATGTAAAAACTCTGTATTCCATGATATAACCAAACATATTGATGTGCATTTTCATTTTATACGTGATATTATATCTAAATATATATTAAAATTGGAAAAAATTCCTTCTGAGTATAACCCATCTGATATGGGTACTAAAGTTTTACCTGCAAACAAATTTGTATCTTGTATGAAAAATATACACTATGATACATTAAATTAGCTTTGTACTACTTAGTGTAGTTGGTAGGCTAAGTTAATGTTTTTTAGACTAACATTACATATTTTTTTATTTTTTTTTTGCAAGTAAATATATGTGCAATGATGTTCCCAATCACTCGGACAAAAATCAAGCTGAAGATCTGTTGGATTTTTTAGTCCAAATGGATCCACCACAAATAAGACACACACACACACCTAATTATGAAGCCCAATAGAACCATGGCCCTGACTCGCGACCCACACCCGCTAACCCGCGTCCGTGCAACGCTCCGACTTACTTTTGCCTGCGACCCACGACCCATGACCCGATTTAGTTCCACGTCCTTTTCCTAGACGTAATCTGGGCCGTCCAATTTTAGTCTTTGATCTTGGTCATCCATTCTTCTTTAGCCATCCTATATATAAAGAGGAGAGAGAGGCGTTGTCTCTCATTATCAACTCACACACTCTCTTTCTACACTCACTTTCTCTAGCCTTTTTCTTTCGACCTCTCTGTCCACCTTTTCCGGTGACCTTTCTTAGCGGTTCACGGAGGTTCTTGGCGGTGCCTTTTCTCCTGTAACATTTTAGAGTTCTTGTGGTGCGATTTTCCACTGTTTGATGTTGTTTGTAGTCGCAATGAGCTCATTCAACTTGTAGGCATTTGTATTTGTTCTATTTCGCCTTGTATTTTACGTGGGAGTTCATTTCGTTGTGTGTCGTGCGTTTTGAGCCGGTTCTTTTGTGTAGTCACTAGTTAAGTGTGACTTTTGTGTCGATTTATGTTTCGAGTTAGTTAGGGGCTGAACATAACTAAAGCTAATTCAAATTTTTGTTAATTTCGCTAATAAAAATCTCGATCTATTTTCTTTATTTTAATAACAAAATATATTAAAACCAATCCTGAAACATAAATACAGTGTAATGTTATTAATGTCCCCCTTCATGTATAAAAATCAGTGAATGAATGACATGTGAAAAGCAGAGCAGTGGCACAGATATTTGTCTACATATTTTTTTTAGGTGTCCTTATTGTTAGATTAGAAAAATCATAAAAACATTACTCTATCCAGTTATTAATTGGACATAATTTTTTTTAAAAAAAATGGATAAAAATAATTTTTATAGTAAAAAACAAAAGAAAAAAATAGTATTCTCTTATTAAAAAATAAAATGAGAATATATATATATATATATTTTTTTATCACAACCATAAAAATGATATAATTTTGGATGACATAAATATTTTATACTACATTTTGGATCAATTTTATATTTTCTATTAATTTTTATTATTATTTATATATATTATATATAATACTTCCTCAGCTCTGTGACATTATGATAATGGTAGACACATAAATTTAAGAGATATAATTAGTAAATAATTAAAAATATATTAATAAAATATAATATAAATTAAAATATTACTATTATAATTTTCGTTGATTTCATTTAAAAATATTATTTTTTTATTGTAATAAAAATAATTAAACATTCATATTAAAATACTCTTAAATTTATATAAAATATACTACTCCATTATATATATAATTAATTTGTACATAAAGTATAAAAAAGATAAAAATATACAAATTATATTACATATTTTTACTAATTAATAAAGTATTAATATTATTTTTTAATCAACTAAAACAACTAAAAGAAATACATTCCAATGAAAAAAATAGTAAAAAACTCTATGTGATTTTTCGAATTCGCTGAAAACCTCTAGTGTTTTAAGATTCTAAAAAATCTACCCGTGGTCTTCAAAATATTTTACACTCTCCCCCTCTCTAAATTTGACTAAAGAACGTTAAATTTATAGATTTGACCATTATATCATTATTTATATATTTTTCAATTTATTTTCTCTGTTATCTTCTTTCTTCTTCTTTCTCTTCTCTTCAACCGCACTTGATTGTTCTTTTTTCCATCTTTTTTCCCCAAATTTTCTTCACATGCGCAGCTCTTTCTCTTGTTCTTTTTCTTCAATTTTGTTCTCCTTCTTTCCCAATTCTTTTTTATGTGGCCACAGCCCCACCGGTTCTTTCTTTTGTTCATTTTCCCCATTTTTTTTTCCTTCTTCTTTATCTCAATTTCTTCTTTGAAGAATGAAGAATTGGAAAAGAATAAGAAGAGGAAGAAGAGGACAGACAGAAAGAGCTGGAGCTGTGAATAAGAGAAAGAGAAGAAGAAGAGAAAAAGAACAAGAAATCTAGATTGATTTATTAGATTGCTGGATGTCAAATTGATTTCTGGGTTTGGTAAAACAGGAGAAGAAATACACAATGAGCAATAACTTACACATTCTCGTCTCCATCTTCATGTCTGGTCGATTAATTGTATTATAAATTTGAGTTTTAGAACCACAAAGAGTTTTCAGCACATTCGAAAAATCACAGGGTTTTTTTTGCTATGAGGAATAAAGTATCAAACTTTTAGTTTTTTTTTATATTATAAAATTAATTATATATATAAAACATTAATATCTATTTCTATTACATCAAATAATCATTCAAATTAAAAGATTTATTATTCAAGATTCGAATCCAAAATCTAAATTTCAACCAAACGCACGATTAATGTTTATTAATTATGAAATATATTGTTTAAAATATTAAATTTAAAAAATTTAGCTCGATCAAACCCTACTTGAGTCTAATTTTTTGTATTATGCTTGAGTCGAATTTTCGAATCATAGCCATTTTTGTTTATTCTAATTAAACATAACTAAAAATAGTTATGATTTAGAATTTACATACCGAAATTGTGAGTCATATCCTAAATTGTTCTGACACTTTTGTTATGTTAAAAAACATATTGATATCATACCGAAAAATCAATATATTAAAATTTCGGTAACAAATATATATATCATACTATACTGATAATTCATATACCGAAAGTATTGGTATATGTTTCATACTGAAATGTCAAATTAAGAATTATTTTATAATTTAGGAAAAAATAAAAAAACAAAAAAATAATTGTATCAATATACCTAACTATTGATATATATACCGATATATCAGATACTAAAGTTATATACTGAAATATATACACAATATATATTCTTTTTGTTGTATACAAGAGTTATTTCAATATTTCGATACATATTGATAATATCAAATTAAATACTGATACTATGTCGAAAAAGTTCTATACCAAAAGTTTGAAAATTTTTTTAATATTTTTCGGTATGATATGCGTGTTTCGAGAATTCGATATCTCTAATTAAAAATAAATTATTGAAATAATTATTGGTAAAAAATGTGGATATGTTCTGCCAATAAAGAACATCGAATACATTTCACAATTAAAATTATAAAAATAATAATATAACACAAATTCACGTAATAAATAATATCTATTTTACACATGTTTGAATATTTGCAGAAAATAAAAAAAAATTTACCAATAAAAAACTCTTCATCACAGTAATCCTGAAAGCGTCTATACTATCATACTATGAAGCGAGAAAATAAAAAATAGTATAGAAGGGTAAAAGAATCGTGCATATATATATATATATATATATAGAAAATAGAAAATTGATTACAAGAGAGTGCATATGTATATATATAGACATATATATGTAGGCCTCAAATAGTAATATATATAAAATATTCTAACAACACACTTATAAAAAAAATTAATAATTTAATATAAAAAATTATTATTTATTTTACTACATATTTTGACGTACTCACATAAAACAATTCAAACTGAAAAAAAAAACCAAAACATCTTAAAAAGATTAATTTTAATAGTTAAAATAATTATTAGATTTTTTTATAAAAAAATTAGTATAATTCAATGTAACAGTTCAAAAAAAAAGAAAAATGACAAAATTTGATGAGATGAAAGGAGTATATTACAAATTTTAGTTGGATAAATATAAATGACAAAAATAACGCTAAACGCACATATACCACATAAAAATAGCATAGAGTACATAGGCAGCATTAAAATAAGAATACAAATAGAATAGAGCACGTCCTCCATTACATATTTTAATAAATAAATAAATGAAATAAATACTACTCCATAATAATGAAAATAGAAAGGTAGAAGTAGGAGAAAGAGAAGCAGGTGCAGGTGCAGGTGCAAGTGCATTGGGCTGGCAATAGCGTTATTATTATTATTATTATTATTATTATTGTTATTATTATTATTACCTAATTTCCGTGTTGGCTTCAAAAGTCACACAGTGGATTGCACTGATTGTAATGATTGATTATTTTTTCCCACTCTCCCACGCCATTACAATTCAACTTCTTCTCTTCATTGTCTACTGCTTAGTCATACATACAGATACATACATATGCATATATATATATATCTATAGGAGGAGGCGTAGCTAGCTATAAGAGAGAGAGAGAGAGACACAGGCTTTTTCCTTCATTCATACTTTCTTTCTTTCTTTCATTCATTCCTTCCTTCCTGCGGGCGGTTCTGCTGAAGCGAGAAATTAAATTAAATAAAATTAAAATAGTGTGGTAATTCAATTGCTGTAATGTCGTCGTCAATGAACCAGTACTCGTCGGAACCCCATTGCGCCGCCTACCACCGCTCTCACTACTACTCCGCCGCCATGCCCATCGATTCATCCTCATCATCCTCTTCGTCTCCAAAGCCGCCGCTCAATTGGATCACGCCTCGTCAGCTCTATGCGTCCCCCGCCGGACCTATGTTCACCTTCAATCTCAACGCTACCAATGAAGCGGCGGACGATAATAACAACAATAATAATAATAATGATGATTACTATTCCATGGAGGAGGACAGAGAGAATGCGGTTGAATCTCATGAGGTCGTGGAGATCCCCAAGCAGGCGCTGTTTGAGAAGCCTCTGACGCCGAGTGACGTAGGGAAGCTCAACCGTCTCGTCATCCCCAAGCAGCACGCCGAGAAGTGTTTCCCCCTCGGCGGCGGCGGCGAGAACGGACTCCTGTTAGGCTTCGAGGATGAGCTCGGGAAATCATGGCGGTTCCGCTACTCGTACTGGAACAGTAGCCAGAGCTACGTCCTGACCAAAGGCTGGAGCCGTTTCGTCAAGGAGAAACGCCTCGACGCCGGTGATATCGTCGTTTTCTCGCGCCACCGCACCGACGCCGGCCGCCTCTTCATCGGATGGCGACGCAGGAACTCGATCGGCGGTCGCGATCACGCCACCGTACTTCATCCGAACGTATCCGGCAACAGCTGGAGTCGGATACCTACCTCCTCCGCCGATCCTTATCATCACCAAATAGCGCAATCAACTCCGCCGCACCACCAGCCGGAGCACTTTCCTCGCGCAGGTACGTACCACCTTCCGTGCACTGCATTACACCAATTCAATCGTCTTCCATTTTTTAAGTTTTCTCCATTTTAGCATAACTGCAGATGCAGGCGCACACGCTTTTCATGTAATTCCTTCGATTCATCTGCCACCTCTGAAACTGCGTGCGCTTGCGTTCGGTGCGCCTTTCCCCACACGCAACCAACGCGCGTGCGCACACGCCCCTCCCCTCACCTACAACCCCAATCCCTTGCCCTCCAAATTAGGGTTCACAAAAAAACTGCATAGTGGATCACAAACCCAAACAGTGAATCCCAATCCCGCACATACATTAATCTTAACCCAACTAAACAATCCTTTTTATATTCCCAATTCCAAATAGCGATATGTTCATCTCCTTACTTTTCTCTGTATTTATAAAAGCCATTATTGATGCTAGCCTAATCAATATATGCACGTGTTGGTATCACAGGACCAGGGGCAGCACAGAGCCAAACAACAACAATAGCAGCAGCAGCATCAGTGAGCGGGAATTCCAAGAAGCTAAGGTTATTCGGGGTGAACTTGGAGTGTCAGGCAGCAGCAGAGGATTCACCAGTGAGTTCGCCCATGTCAAGCCAGAGCCAATACAACCACTACTCGTATCACCATCATCATCAATACTACAGCAGTGGTCACATGGTAACAAAGATATTTTATTTTACCTACATACTTTATTTTATCATTATAACAATAACATTGCTGCTATGATTATTATTACTCCATTATTATTATTATTCTGCGTGAGAATAGGGTAGGGATGTGACTGCTCCAATTTCCTAGTTTGATTTTGCTGTTTCCCCTAATGAAACAGATACATGAGCTACAGTAGTCTCTGAACCTAATTATTATATTATAATATTTTTAAGAGATCTGATGACTTGTATATAACCCTGAGCTTGCATCTGCCTAACGTGTAGATTAGTTAATGGGAATTAACTCTAGGCTCTAGTTTAGGTGAACAAGTAAAATCAAAAGCAATGTTCTCATTCATTCAAAGGAATTAAATAAAGTGAGCTAACCTAAATGCAAATATCACAACATGTGACAGATATGTTTCTGGCTGATTTATGGTAAATACTATTTGGTTATTTTTCCTTTCCCTCTTAAAAATCAAGATCACACGCACGCACAAACGCATTTAGAGATGATGGATACACACATTGTGGCTGTACATACACTATACATGTATGCATAACATCTTAATAGTGGTGTACAAAAGCTAAGCTACATAGTACAAATGGGACCATACCTCCTCCTCCTACATTTTGAATAGGTGAGGAGCTGAGGGGGAATCGTGTGGAAGCAGGAAATGTGTGTATGGGAATGCATTTATAAGTGATTGCTAAATCTGGCACAGTTTTAAGTAGTGCGTATTATCACATCAATCACTGTACAAAATGCCGACCTACTTGTGTGTTGTTGGCCTGTAGAGTTTAGGTGGTCCTCCTCGATGAGTTATCTAATAAATGGTGGAAATTTTTAGGTTTTGGGGTTTGAAAATATCCAGCAGGTAATTGGGATTTATGTGCGCTGTTGGTTGGGGCATGATCAACATGCATGTATTTTTATTTTTTTTTATGATTATTTTAGGTCAAGTTGGGAACAATGATCAAGGGCCTCATCAAGTTTGGTTTGGTAGCCGAATTATTGCTACCAAATTATTTTTTTTTCTTTTAAGGATTTTTAATTGCTTTATAGGATCAGAAAAGGCCAATTCGTTACTTTTTTGTGATTCTTGATTTAATTGTATAATTAATTATTTGATCTGATAGGAGCCAACGCGGTTACAGGTGGGAGGGATCAAACTCCAAGTTTGACTAAGAGATCTTTATTGATCATTTGATAAATTTTTCTGTTCTATAGCCTTTTTAGACTTTTTCAGGAATTTCAAATAATTGTTGTTGACCATTAAATTTTTTTCTAGAATTCTACCGTTTTGGCCTACCCTTTTATTTACTATTAATTATTATTATTATTATTATTATTAAAGTAACTACTGCTTGTTGATTGACATCTACCTCAGGGATCATGGTCTTTTAGCCACTAATGAATAGTTAATTAGTGGGGAGTCGAGGTCCCTGGTGTAGCTAAGAATCCTGTGCTCCACAGCCCTATTGCACACATCCATGAATATTTAAATAGGCTAGAGAGTAGAAACTATTGTACTATAATAGTGATAGCCATGAATGCTGGTATTACAAAGCTCATCAGACACTTAACATACACATATTAAATTATATATAAATATATATATGTATGTTGTGTTCATATAATGTAGTAACAATTAATATGGTTGCAACAGGATGCTACTTTCTCAGGAGGAGCTGCATATCGGCAAGGATAAGATCTGGAGGATGTGACATTCATACATTTGACCTTCCTCAGCTGGCTGTCTATTCTATGGTTTATAATTTCCAAAGAAAAGAAAATCCCAGATTTCCAGGGGGGTGGATGGTGGGGGCCCTCTCCCTCCCCCCCCCCCCCCCCCCCCCCCCTTTCTCTCACTAGAAAAATGGGCACAACAAAATAGAGGTAGAGAATCGATTAGAAAGACAGGGAGGAACAAAAAACGTAAGGCAGAGAAAATCTGAAGAGGGTTAAGTATATGGGTCCCTTGTAGTATATAGTTGAGTATTATATATCTTTTTATCTGTATGCATATGTATTTATATATATATATATATATATTGGGGGCAATTGAAAAAGCAGAAGAGGAGGGGGAGGTGGAGTGGAAAGAATATGGATAGTTGCAATGAAGAATGTTTGAACATTGTACAAAAATAATATACTAGTAAGTTATTACTATTAATGAAGAGTTTTGGTTGCTACTGCTAGTGTAGTGATTGTGGGTGCTTGTCTGTGATGTTATTGTTTGTAGAATGGACAGTGAGTGAAACAAAGAAAGAAAGCCATATGGTTGTTCCTAATTAGAGCAAAATACTTGAATAGGAATGGGCATGGGAACTCACTCTATTGAGGGAGGGAGTAAGTGGTGTTGCCTGCAGAAACAAACAAGTGAGTTATATAACTTGTGACAGCAGCAAATAATGAATGGTGTGGTGTGGTGTGTTGTGTTGTTATTAAGCAGAGCAGAGCAGAGGGGATGGTAATTGAATAATGAGAAACTGTAGTTGGTGGGAAATGAGATGTGATATATGTATATGTATATGAAAAAGGACACATCTGTCCCATCTCATCTCATCTCATCTCAATCTCATTTGGTACAGCAAATGTTGTTTGTGGCTGCCACATGAAGGAGAGGCAGTGGGCACAACCAAAATGAAAGGAATATGACTGACTAGGAATGGGAGTGGAGTGGAGTTGAGTTACTAGGTAGCCATCCAGTTAGAATAATAATCAGAATGAGATTGTTATTGTCGGATGGACGGACAACAACAAATGCATATGCAATGCAGGTATCTATCATCCATTTCCATTGACATTGCAGTGTCTGTGTCAGTGTGGAGATAGATGCTTAGTGCTTCCCCAAGTGGGAGTGGGAAGGAGAGGAGAGGAGAGGAGAGAAGAGAAGAGGGCCCAAATTGCATGAAGAATCCCATTACTATTACTACTAATACTTGCTACTGTGTCTGTACCCCTCTGCCCTACCCTACCCTACCCTACTTAACCAGATAGATAGATAGATAGATAGATAGATAGATACATAGATAGATAGGCACCAGTCATATATCCATCTTTCACCACTACACTACACTACACTACACTACATTACATTTGGACCATACGGTACCAGAAGCACCCCAGAGGTTGATCGTTTCAACCCAACCTTTCTTCTTTCCTACCTTCCTTTCTTTCTTGTGGGATGCCAATTTGATGCCAATTTTCTAAAACTTAATAATACTACTAAATACTAGTTACTAGTAATAAATATTACATACATCACTACCATTGTTTGTTTCTCAAAAAAAAAAAAAAAAAAAAATATATATATTTAATAGGGGTGACGGTGACAGTGACAGAGACAGAGAGAGATATCATTAACAATAATACTAGTAATTACTAGTCTTACAGAAATGTAGAAACAACAAAAACACTGCAGGGTAGGCAGGCAGGCATCATGGTCGTTTTACATACATGCACAGATGCACACTTGTGCAGTGCAGTGAACAATGAACATAATAGAGAGCAGAGAGAGAGAGAGAGAGAGAGAGAGAGCCCACCCATTTATTTATGCTAGCCTCCACTCCACTACTAACCAATTGGAATTCAGAGTTGACTTCATTAATCACCTGGACAACAAAAAGAGTGGTTCATGTTCATCATAATGAAACAATCTCGTCTTGTCTCTATCCATCGCTCATTCAGAAGCTGGAAAAAAGATTACATCATTTTCTCATATGCTTCAATTCCTTCATCCTCTCCTAACTTGACACTGTAACAAGGATATGGCTAATCATTTTCATATTCCACCTATACTTTTGCTAACATGTTTCATAAATGGTTTCAACTCAAACAATACACTACTATATGTTTATCTTCTTTCTCCCATAAGCTTAAAAAAAGTAAAGCATCAAGTTTCCAACTTTGTGGCTAAACCCATCCATAACTAAACAAATTTTAACCTTCATTTATTCCATTATTATGCTCAAAATCGACTATATTACTAATTTGTGCTTACAAACTCAGAAACCAAATGCTAAGATTAAAGATTCAACAATTGTTCTTCATATTTGCTCACTAGATATTGAGCAGCAAAAAGGTTGGGGCATCCAAATCCAAATCCAAATTCAGTTCAAGCAATCAACAATGAAGCAAATCAGTAATCACCAATTATAAAATGCAAGAAATACAACTCACTAGATCAAGCTCTGAGATAAATCAACTCAGCTTCATTTTCAGGTTCGGGGTTTCCTTCTTCTCCATAATCTGTTGAATATATCCTTCAATGAGATTCCTCATTGCTGGCCCTAATAACATCTTCATTCGCCCTTTTTACAGCCACATTTATATAACATAATCACTAATCGTGTACGAAATGGACAAATAATAACAAAGCATGGTTAATCAAATTTGAGTAAAAGTTCATCCTCCAAAGCCCAAAAGCATGCTTATGCAAGTATCACATTTGTCATCTCCCACCAAACCAAGTGTCCAATAAATCGGAATTTCAGTCTCAGCAAGAAGATTGCATATTAGTTTGCACAATTATTCATACACTAAGCATTCCATCACCTAGTACAAAGACAACTTTGACTAATATATCTTCAAAAACCTTCTAATAACAATATGAATCAAAGATACTCTACATGACAAATATAAAAACACTCTCCTATATGTATGGTTACACCATTTTTAGATGTTGGTTGACAAAAAATGTTCAAGGACAAGAAAAGATGATGGAAACATGTTAAAGAATCAAAAAGATCAGAAAATTAGGGACTACCTTGTCTACAAAATAAAATAAAATGAAATGAAATTTATCTTGTCCATCTAGCTATTCAACATTAAATCAAAACTTCCACAAAGTTTTTCTACTCGGTGTATATACAGTTTACATATCAAAATCCTTCAACAAAACAAGTTATGAGCTTCACATTTCAACTTTTATTATGTTTTCCTCACATTTTACTTTCCCCCTATCAATTTCTGCTAAGTTCCTCAAGGGTTTGTTTGGTTTTCGTTTCAAAACCAAAATCTCACTATTCATACATTTCAAAATACTAATTAAATTAAAGAAAAAAAAAAAAAAGAAACTCCCTTTCTTCTTCAGGTAATTATGTGGCCTGAGCTCCGGACCAATATCCCTGACCCAGCTAGAGGCATACAGTCTAGAAGAGAAACTTTAGCCTTTAGCCACAAAAGAATCTGAGCAGAGTAAATATGTGTTAAATCTTAAGAAACTCAGAGAACTTACAGGAAAACTCTCTTTCAATGCGAGTTTGGGAATCGATTTAATGCGGGTGGATCAGGCAAACAAATTCCAGCCTGAGGAGCGAAGAAGAGAAAGAAGAAAAGAAAAAAGGGCATTGTAACAACAGCGATGGTGGCGTAATAACAGCAGCGGCGGCAATAAAAGGAAACATAGCAAGGCAGAAAAAAGATGAAGAGAAGAGAGAATAGGAAGGAGAAGAATAGCGGAAGTAGAAGAGTAAGGAGAACAACGTTGGATTTGTAAAAAGAAACACAAATGGGGAGGGGACCGCAACTAATACGATTTGAGAATTGCGTATGTTTTTTTGGGCTGTGTTTCGGACAAGTTGGGAGAATACGAATTAAAGAGATTATAGTCGCTACCTCTGACTCCCAATGGTGATGGACTGATAGAATTGGAAAGTATTCTTCATTTTCCAATTCAAGAAATCCTCCACCAAATCTTAAAGATATAACCAAAGTTTTATCTTATTTATCTATGGATATAAATACATACAAAATCCGCAAATTTCCATTACCGACAAGCATCAAGATCGACATTAGGGTTTCTAGTTCAATCTCTTTTTGGTTTTTTTAAAACTCACAGAATATATTTAAGCAAAGCTCTCAATTATTAAAATAATAATAATAATAATAATAAAATCCACAAATGGACTCTAGATTCTCAAAGAAAAATATTCGATTAAATCTCAATCCCACACAAACAAATGAAGATAATCAAACTAAAAATTATTAAAGAATCCTTCCTTTCCAGCCTCTATTTCTGGCGGCTTCTTTGAACTCCGACAGTCACTGATGTTGATGCGGCAACTTCAACGTATTACTCCTTGGATGTTCATCGGAAAGAATGGGGAGCGACGGAGTGTTCATCGGAGGGTAAGCAATGGTAGTTTCTATAGAAACAACAAAAGAATAAAAAAAAAAAAAAAAAAAAAAAAAAAAAACAAGAAATAAACGGGGTAAAATAGTCTATTGCAATATTTTGAAAATAAAATTTAAAAATATGTATACAAGGTAATTTGTAGATTGCGCCACCTGGCACAATCTTAACATCTGCAGGATCAAATAAGCCGCGTGAGAAAATGTCAGCCGCCCGATCAAAATTTTAATCAACGGATGAGATTGCAGTTAGGGGTAGAAATATAATTTGATTTTAATAATTAATAAGTCAATACTTTATTTTAGCATAAATTAAGGGAATAAATACAGATAGATGCATGTCGTATTTATAATTTTCTTCTTTCACCGACATCCATCCAAGAAAATAAATTGTGAATAAGTCGGAGCGTAGAACAAGATGAAATAAAATAATGTGCATTTCGGTCAGTTCCAGTGTGCTGTGGATGAAGATAACGTTTTAGAAATTACATAGTGAAATAAGTTTTTTTTATCGATCGCGAAAGTAACGTATTGACGAATATTTATTACATCATATATTTATCTTCTGAACATCATATTCTAAATATATATGCATCATAATCGTATTAGTCATTCAACATATCAATAATTGCACACAAGAATTATTTAATCAATGATTGAAACAATAGAAGACTTGCGGACTTCTATCAGTTCAATTAGATACATTAAATTTATCCTAATTGTCGAATTCAATATTGAACAAATGCATCTTTTTCAAACTCCAACGATGCGTACAAGTCATATTATAGATATGCGCATAGACAAAGATTTGCCATACAAAAACAAATGCAAAAAGGCAAAAAGTGATAATCAAATATACAATACATTCATTATTGCTACAATAAAAAGGGGTGCACAAATAATAGTAAAGTTTACCCCAATAATAAACGAATATGTTTAGAGGATGTTGCCACTCAATTATATATATAAATATAATTGTGAAAAAAATATATATAACATAATCCATCATTTAAACCTAATCAATACATCATAATTATGCAATATATAAATCATAAAATGAAATATATCATAACTATACATGCAACATCTCTATATTCAACTTACATCATTTATATATCATGTCTACTGAATTTATATATCATATTTATAAATATAATGGTGAAAAATATATTTAACATAGTCCATCATTTAAATCTGATCAATATATCATAACTATGCAATATGTAAATCATAAATATGAACCATAACATGAAATAAAAGTGTGCACAATAAGATTTAGTATAATCAGTCTACCATGAGTTAAACAACATATGTGTCACGAATATACATCGTACGTGTCCGGAGTCTAGAAAAAAGATTTTTAATAATAACTATGTTGATATTTTTTTTCTAAAAGAGACTAACCAAGAATACATATACATGCATGATCACCGTAAAAACATTACGCAGCATTGAAAACACAATCACCAAATCTGTCCGCTTGGCCGAAAGGGCTTCTCGTTGTTGAAATCTACTATATTTCTTGGCACATATGGTACTTGAATGTGCTTCGTTATCTTTGTTTGGGTTTAATAGATGCCTCGGGATCTTGCTTAGTTGAATCCGTCATTGGAAGATTTGTCAAATGTGAATTTCTAAATAGAAGAGGAATTGTGCGTTGTTGCCGACTTCCATCAAGTGCGGATGTCCAGATAGAGAAGAAATCGATGGCGGGGGTGGTTATTTGACAGTGATGGGCGTGGCTGGAGAGGCCGGCAGCAGTGGCGGCGGACTGTGTCGTAGACGGAGACAGCGTGACGGGGGAGGAGATATATGTGTAGTGAATTTAGGGCTTGGTAAATAAGATGGACGGGAATGGTTAATTTTTATATAGATTTGATTTTTAATTTATTTAAATATTTGTCATATCATAATCGGCGAGTTGATAGAATGTATCATAATGCATTTACTTGGACATCGTTTAATTAAATTATATCAGAAAAGTATTTCATGGAAAACATCGTAATAGTATTATAGAGACATCATTTTGTGATACTGTATCCATCTTTATAATTTGAATGTATACGATTTTAAAAGTAATTATTTGCAAATATTTTTTGTTTTTGTATAAGAAAAACTTAATTCCAAAATTATAGGAGGTTGTTACGGTAATTTTTTCTAATTGATTTTTTCTAATTAATTTTTTCTAATTGATTTTTTTTTTAATTAGATATCTTAATTAATTTTTTGAATTACCAAAATACCCTCAATCAAATTCAATCATTGGATTATCAGTAGAATTGATCCAACAGATTAAAAACATTAAGATGCTTTTAAATTTTAATCAATATCGAGAGGATACCAAAATTTATATTTTAGTTTAGATTTTTTATTTAGGACACTTGTCTGTCAGTTGTATTAAATTTGAATTCAGTTTCCATAATAAAAAATTGATCTGAATTCCCTTCTTTATTTATTTATTTTAATATTGGTCCATATTTTATATTTCTCTTTTAGTTTGTTTTGCATAAATTTGATGTCCTTTTAAATTATATTCAAATACTTCAATGTTATTTTATATAATTATAAGACATCGACGCTCTGCTTATACAATGTTCTATTATATCAAATTGTTCAACTAATATACTTCTATTCTATTTTACTTCAACTATAATTATGTCATATTTCTTTGTTTGGTTGTCCGTCAACTTATATATAATAAACATTTTATTCACTATTTTTTATAAACTTAATTGAATTAAATTGTATCCTAATATAATATAATTATTAATACAAATTTAAAAATGTAATAATATGAATATATAAATATATTTGGTTCGCTTAATCGAACAAAAAAAACTGTTAAAAACTGAAATTAATCGAATCGAACAAATATCAAATGTTCAGTATTTGTATTCAAACTAAATTTGCTCAATTAATCGAAAATTCGGTTCGGTTCTCGGCAGTTTAATGGTTCCGATTAGATATTTCACCCACCTTACTTATGACATTATTTCTTATCATTTTTTTTTCAATTAATTTTTTAAAATACTCTTATTTTACTTCTTACCCACCTCACTTTTATATAAAAATATTATTATTCTTTAATTTATGTGTCCAAGTAAAATGCATAATTAACCAAGATGGAGAGAATATTTAATAAATCTAATGTGTAGAAAATGTTATAATTTTATTATTTAAATTAATTAAAAAATCTAAAGTAACTTTTTAATTTAATATTTTAAAATATATTAAAATTAGTAATAATTTTATAAATTGTGTAATATTTATATTAAATTTATTTTTTATATATTTTATTTTAAGAAATTACAAAAAAATTATTAGGACAATATTAATAAATGAGTACGAGAACATGAAAATCGCAATGATCGCATACACTTATTTGGAGTATAAAAAATATAAATATAAATTTATTTCTTTGAAATCATTTTATTAATTCTAAAAAATATATTTGTGATATATATTATTTAATTTAATATTAAAATTTTATATATTTAGCATCATACAATTTAATTTAACTATCATACAATATTTTTAAATGGAAAATTAGAATTAAATACCTCCCCCTATTTTGAATTTTAAATTCAGTTCCCAAAGAGAATTGGTAGACACTTGCAGTCCTACTTTTTAAAATAGCTTGCATTTAACTCCCCACCCAGCCTAACTTTCCAATTTTGCTCTTATCAATCAGATCTAATTGCAATTTCAATTACTATGCATTAGGTTTTCTTCGCGTGAAAGAGTAACCAAAGACAATTTTGTGATCGATATCTCAATCGCACGAGAGAGAAATAGGTAAAACAAAGGTTTAATTCTAGATTGTAATGTTCTTTTAGTGCCATTTTTTTTTCGTTGATCATGGTGTTATTGTGAGTGGTCACGGAGGAGGATCACTTTTTTCCAAATACTTATTCCACCAACATTGAAGACGAAGATCGAAACTTAGACATGATTGAAGACGAAAACTGGAACTTCGAAAACAATGAGATGTTCACTTTAGTCATTTCGGTAAGTATTTTACAAATGCTTTGGTGATGGTTACAGTAGTTGTTAGCTTTACATTCATTATGATCGCATAGAAAAAAAAAAAAAAGCTTTGTGGGACTGTTATGATTTCATTCTAATGTGTCGGCATTATCATAGAATATCTATTCCCGGTGTACTTATATTTATTAATCTTATACCTATGTTGTGTGATATTCTATGCTACATTTGCTTGCAAATACCTTAGTTTTGTTGATACACTACTAATTTGTGAACTTTGGTATTTATTTCATGAATTTGTATATTGAATAATGTTAAAATCTTGTTGCTATGTAGTGATTTTTTCCGAAATTGATAAAAATTGAGAATGATTTTTCTGAAAGTTAAGGCATGCTCTTGACATTGTCAATATAATTGGAAAAACTATATTTTTTTTGTATAGATATTCGGGACTTCTAAAATCCATCATCGATGTATTTTCCGAAGCGCACCATGCATACTATCTCCGATATCTAGTGGACAACTCCCCACTCAGGTAGGTTTAGAGTATATGTCATTTATTATGATATGTACAATAAGATAATTAATTTTTTTTGTAGGTAATCCGGAAATATCCGATGCACAACAAGAAACGATGGATGTCCGTTTTCAACAAAATCAATTATGCCCCCCTATAGAAGAATTTTGAGCATTATATAACGTCTATTGTAGAGGTCATGCCACTCTCTCAAAACTTCATTGCACAATCGCATGTAAAATTTGGTTATTGTGGTTATCTAGAACACAACCGACGAAGTTGCAATGAGGCTTTCTTGTAGGTTTTTTTGGTGTGTTTCTTGTCGCTGAAATTGTTTTTTGTTTTTTGAAGATTATAGATTAACTGTGGATCTGTGTATGAGATCATTAATGAATGATTTGAAAATTAGATGATATTCTCTTGTATCTTACTGGGGGTAGACGAAAATTATGACGGGGTACATATCAGTCCAAAC